TAATTATTATTTGTAAGTTCTTTCTTATTTATTATTTTATATATTATTTACATTATAATATAATTAATAACAAAATTTTAATTTATTTAAAATGCATAAGTGAATTAAAACTATTATAAAAAAATTGATGGGTCCCCCGTAGGTTTACTGAACCCGATAAAACCCGACGGGTTGGGTTTTAAAAATATAAAACTGTCTCTTTTAAACCCAAACCCATCCCACCTTTTACAAGGGAGGGGGGTTAGGACAGGGAGAGCAAAATCCACCCCCGCCTCGCTCCATTGTCATTGCCTATTCTTACTCTACTCAATAATTCATGTTTTAAATCAAATTTCAATGATCCAACCGTTAAATTAAAAAATTTTAATCCAGAGATTAAGCCTATACAATTATTTAAAAATTTAAAAATTATTTGATACTTCGTTTCATTAATTCAAATTAACAAATACTCAAAAACATTTTACACGTTGATTTGAATCTATATAACAAAGTATCATATAGTTTTCAATTTTTTTTTTAAATTTGTAGAATTGATTTATACATTAAAAACTTTTAATTTAATAATTGGATCGTTAAAATTTGATATAAAACATGAGTTATTGAGTGGAGTAAATCTACTAAAACTTACTCTTAAAATAAGTCGATACCTCTCTCTCTCTCTATATATAAGGAGGAATTCGTTTACTTCAAGAGTAAGTCCACCTAGACTTATTTCGTTCAATAACTCATGTTCTACATCAAATTTTAACGATCTAACCGTTGAATTTAAAGTTCTTAATATATAGATCAAATATGCAAATTTTTAGAAAATTTAAAAATCATTTGATATTTTGTTCATTAATTTGAATTAATATATAAAAAGATTTTATGTCTTATGATCATCTGTCAATTTGAATTAATGAAATAAAGTATTAAATAATTTTTAAATTTTCTAAAAATTTGCATATTAGATCTATATATTAAGAACTTTAAATTCAACGGTTAGATTGTTAAAATTTGATGTAGAACATAAGTTATTAAACGGTATAAGTCTAGGTAGACTTACTCTTGGAGTAAACAGATCCCTCCTATATATATATATATA